GCACATCCCTCCAGAGGGCCCCTATCAGAAACCCCGTAATTTTTATGGCGGGGTGGCTTTGCAAGCGCTGTTCTCTCTGCACAGCTGTGAAACAACTCTCCAACAGCAACACCACATCCCAGCACCTCCCGGCAGAGACCAAAAATTACAGCGAACAGCAACAACTGTGTTTTATTCAGGAAAAGTATGATTCCTCTTAAGATCCATGGCTAACACGGTCAGCACTGTGACCAGAAACGTGACGGTCCTCCAACGCCTGTTATAAACAAAACCTTACGGCTCAAAATAGCGATATAACTGCCTGTCTCCTGCTGTGATTGCAGGTCCTGCGAATGCGCATCATCCTGCTCACTGGGACACCAGTGACACCACCACGGCTGGCAGGGCTGGGTGTGACTGGTGGCTGAGGACAGCTCCCTCTCTTCGAGTGCTGGGCGCACGGGCTCTCCCGGACCCCAGTTACTCTGCTCCCAGGACAGCCTGAACTGGGTGAGGAAGCAATTAAGCCCCAGACTTTGGAAAGACTTTTACAGCACGGTGGTTATTTATAGATGCCCAAAACAGAGCCCAGAGAGCAGCTAGAAAGAGGACACGGCAGGGCTATAGCCAAGACTGCACCGCACCACAGCTTAACTGCAGGGCTTGCAGCGCACACGCACGGGAAAGTTCCCTTTCAGGCCCCAGGGGAGGTTGCCACGCGGTTTCTCATCGCTCTTTTCACCCCCTGCCCTCCCACCACTGCGAAAGGGGCTCAGTATTTCCCCCACAGGCGGCCGTGACTGGCAGCAGCTAGCGAGGGTGGATCTGATCTGCTGCAGAGCCTCCCTGCTGCTGACTGGGGCCAAGCAGCTACTCCTGCCCCGGGCAACACCTGCCCCCAGGCAAGATGCGTGCGGCAGCTGGAAATAAAGGAGGATGCTTCTCATCTGGTTTTCATTTCCATCGCTGTCAACAGCACTGGAGGTTGGGAGTCCTAGGGAGACCCAGACTAGAATTTAACGGCGGGGAGAGGTGTAAATCAGTCTGCTTCTAAAGCCCCTATGCCTCGGGCTGGGCTATTCCCAGCAGTCTCCAACACCATCAGCATCTTTGCCCTGCTTTTCCTCTGGGGTAGGGTGAAGACAGCTAGAGCAGCAGACAGCCCTAGCACAGTGCCTTCTCTGGGAATATGAAGCACCTTGTCTGCAGGACAGCGACCTCCCCAGCCAGGCACCCAGCCCCAGCCAGCTGAGCACAGGGCCGGGACCTGGGCTAAGAGCAGCGCCTTTTAGCTCACCTGCAGCACAGAAGTTCCTTCAAAGCTGGCTTTGGCTCCTCTGGCCTCCTCTAGTAACGTCCACAATGGCAGGGCCAGTCCGAAGCGGCTTCCAGAGGGGTGCCTGTCCCTGTGCAATGCCTCGAAGCCTGGAGTGGCTGGGCCCCAGGCGGGGCTGCTCAGGCACAGATGCACAGCAGCCTGCCACGCACGACCTCTGCCTGGGGCTCCTTCCCTTCCTCTGCACAGGGCAATGCAGGGAGCAGCTCCCTGCCTCCACAGGAGTGGGGCCAGGGAAGTGAAAAGGATGCAAGAGGCAAGATCCGTTAATTCAAGAAAACATCTTTATTGTACACGTTGGCTTCTATTGCTTGTATCCCCTCCCCAGTCCCATGTAGTGCAAAAAATTCAGAGAAACAGAGTTCCACATAAATAAGTCGGATAACTTACAGAGAAATCAAAGTGACGACGGTTTGACATGGAGGAGACCGGGTCTGCCTACCAGGAAGGCGCAGCGAACCTCTCCCCCCAACGCTGGGGCAAGGGCTCCTGCCTAGCCTGGCCGTCTCACAGCAGACTGACACCGGGGTCCCTGGGTGAAAAAACATCAACACACCCAGCCTGGAGCCCCCCCCCGCTCAGGGGTGCTCCTCCGCCGGGAGAAGCTCACACGGGAAATCGCACAAATAACGTTTTGGGTGAGACACCACTAACTAAAACTGGCAGAGAAGCCACACACAGTTGACAGTTCTCCTCCCCTCAGACAGGGTACTACGCACAGACAGACAGACACAGACGCACATCCCCTCCGAGGCCTCCTCTTCCTCAGCAAGGGATGTGCAGCACCAGAAGCAATTCCACCCTGGGAGCTCCCAGGGCAGATGCTGACACCTCGTGTCCACACAGTGTGGGTCAGGGTGCTCCGGACCCCCGCAAGCTGCTGGGGAATTATTTCGCCCTTTCCTTCCTTCTTTGTCTTTTACAGGAAAGCAGTGAGCACCTGCATAGTTAGTACATCAGAGACACAAAAGGCTCCCTCCTCCCCAGGTTTCTGCAGAACAGGCTCAGTGGTGATATTGCTCAGGACCCAACCGGTGGGTGACAGGAGTCACGCTGCCTGTTTTCCCCACCCTCAAGAGGCAGGACAGCATTGCCCACCGTTTGTGGTGTAAATCGCTAAAGATTACAACCGAGGCCAAGGGCACGGGGCACAAAAATTCTCCCCAGCCTGCTACACTGCTCGCTTCCCCTCTGCTTTTGCCTGCCTGCCGCCCCCCCCGGCACGCTACAGCCGCCACAGCCCCACCAGATGCCGAGCCACTGCCACGACGACTCGTTCCTTGTTTGAAACCAGCCCCGTCCCTCCCTTCAGCAGCTCCTCTCCGGCCCTGCGCTGCCCCTCCTTGTCCCACAGTGGTCCCTTCAGCTGGGCTCCGCTGTCCTTTCACCATTCCTCCGCACGTCAGGCCCAGCACCGGCACCTTTCGCTCCTGCCACGGCCGTGGGGCGTTTAGG